GATAGCATCCAGTTTTGCTCAGAAATATAGACAGATAAAAAAATTATATATAAAAAAAATTATATATAATTTAAAATATCAACATCAAACAATTTAAAATGAAAAAAATTATAAAAGTCTTAACATATAAAAATTTACACATATCAAGTTTGCACATTTAATCTAAAACATTTATCTATAAAAAATTTAAAATATATTAAGGTAGAAAAAGGTGCAATATATTTTAAATAGAAAATATACTAAATTCAATACTTATTACTTATTCTTATTTATTATCAAAATATTAAAATCATTAATATTTTAAAATCCTTCGTAAAGCTAATAAAAAATAATAATTCTCTTGAATGATTTTTAAGGTTCATAGAATAAGTCCTCAAAATTTGTAGATATCACGGATCAAACTTAATTTCTCTTATAATTATGCAAATTTTTTAAAAATAGGCTCATTAATTATGTGGACCGCAAGCTTTGCAAGTCAGCTCGAGGACTTGAACCCATATAATGACCCTTACTTAATGGATTGTCAAGAATTTCACAATCATCAATTATAAGATTTTGGATTGGGTTAACAATGAACGGTGTCACATAGGACCATTCTATGTCAAGTAACTTGTGGCCTATTTAGTGTATAGCTCATTAATGCTTTGTTTGAGAAAAAAAAACACAACAAAACAAGAGATACAAATGAGATGGAGAGAGTAGAAAATAGATAAAATAAAAAATGAACTTTTTTGAATAGTTTAGTTTAAGATAAATAAAAGAATTGAAAAAGAAAAAAAATGTTGTAAGATTATTTGATTTGAATAAAATCTAAAATAAAAGGTTCATAACATAAACATAAAATAAACATAAAAGTATTCTATATTATTTTTATTTTCAAAAAAAAAATTCTTATTTTATAAAACTCACTTAATTGTTTTCTAAAATATCAAATCTTTTATTTATTTATTTCTAAAAATTGGAGTGTTATAACCCCCCTTAAAAGAAATTTCATCACTGAAACCAAAAATAGATATGAAATAACTCAGACATATTTTCTGAGTAGGGAGGTATGGAAAATACTAGGAATGCAAAGGTTTACACTGCATATACCAAAACTGGTTGCATAATGCATTTGATACTTTCTCACATTACAGTAATGATATTCCGATCATAGAAAGTCCACAGACATGGACTTAAAAAAAAAAAAAAAAAGATAGCATCCAGTTTTGCTCAGAAATATAGACAGATAAAAAAATTATATATAAAAAAAATTATATATAATTTAAAATATCAACATCAAACAATTTAAAATGAAAAAAATTATAAAAGTCTTAACATATAAAAATTTACACATATCAAGTTTGCACATTTAATCTAAAACATTTATCTATAAAAAATTTAAAATATATTAAGGTAGAAAAAGGTGCAATATATTTTAAATAGAAAATATACTAAATTCAATACTTATTACTTATTCTTATTTATTATCAAAATATTAAAATCATTAATATTTTAAAATCCTTCGTAAAGCTAATAAAAAATAATAATTCTCTTGAATGATTTTTAAGGTTCATAGAATAAGTCCTCAAAATTTGTAGATATCACGGATCAAACTTAATTTCTCTTATAATTATGCAAATTTTTTAAAAATAGGCTCATTAATTATGTGGACCGCAAGCTTTGCAAGTCAGCTCGAGGACTTGAACCCATATAATGACCCTTACTTAATGGATTGTCAAGAATTTCACAATCATCAATTATAAGATTTTGGATTGGGTTAACAATGAACGGTGTCACATAGGACCATTCTATGTCAAGTAACTTGTGGCCTATTTAGTGTATAGCTCATTAATGCTTTGTTTGAGAAAAAAAAACACAACAAAACAAGAGATACAAATGAGATGGAGAGAGTAGAAAATAGATAAAATAAAAAATGAACTTTTTTGAATAGTTTAGTTTAAGATAAATAAAAGAATTGAAAAAGAAAAAAAATGTTGTAAGATTATTTGATTTGAATAAAATCTAAAATAAAAGGTTCATAACATAAACATAAAATAAACATAAAAGTATTCTATATTATTTTTATTTTCAAAAAAAAAATTCTTATTTTATAAAACTCACTTAATTGTTTTCTAAAATATCAAATCTTTTATTTATTTATTTCTAAAAATTGGAGTGTTATAACCCCCCTTAAAAGAAATTTCATCACTGAAACCAAAAATAGATATGAAATAACTCAGACATATTTTCTGAGTAGGGAGGTATGGAAAATACTAGGAATGCTCAATAAAAAAAAATGAAGCAAGACTATTCAAAATAGTTTTAAAAATCGGATCAATTATCAAACTTGTTAGGGTACTGAGTCAGTGGATTAAAAGTTGAATCGGTAGATCATTAATTGAACCACATTACCCAGTTTTTATTAAATTTTTTTTAAAAATATTCATATTAAATATATTTTATACTTATAAATTTCAATAAATTCATATCCCATCTTAAATTTCAATTTCCATCTTATTTAAAATTATTTTTATTTTTATTTTATATAAAGAAATACATAAAAAAGTTGCATGTTAGACTATATATTAATAAAAATTAAAAATATAAATAATATGTATATATATATAACATACCTGCAATTGATAGCACAAAATAATATTTGTAATATCTAGATATTATATTATTAAATATATAATTTAAAATTAATAATATACTATAAAATTATTTAAGTTGTATATATTACAAACAAATACATTAAAACAAGTGGTTATTATTATATTTTATAAGACTGTTTGCTCTTCCATGAGTAGGGTTCAATTCTCATGTTGTGTTTTTTTTAATTTCTTTTTAAAAGTGATAAAAAAAAAAAATAGATAAAATAAAAAATGAACTTTTTTGAATAGTTTAGTTTAAGATAAATAAAAGAATTGAAAAAGAAAAAAAATGTTGTAAGATTATTTGATTTGAATAAAATCTAAAATAAAAGGTTCATAACATAAACATAAAATAAACATAAAAGTATTCTATATTATTTTTATTTTCAAAAAAAAAATTCTTATTTTATAAAACTCACTTAATTGTTTTCTAAAATATCAAATCTTTTATTTATTTATTTCTAAAAATTGGAGTGTTATAACCCCCCTTAAAAGAAATTTCATCACTGAAACCAAAAATAGATATGAAATAACTCAGACATATTTTCTGAGTAGGGAGGTATGGAAAATACTAGGAATGCTCAATAAAAAAAAATGAAGCAAGACTATTCAAAATAGTTTTAAAAATCGGATCAATTATCAAACTTGTTAGGGTACTGAGTCAGTGGATTAAAAGTTGAATCGGTAGATCATTAATTGAACCACATTACCCAGTTTTTATTAAATTTTTTTTAAAAATATTCATATTAAATATATTTTATACTTATAAATTTCAATAAATTCATATCCCATCTTAAATTTCAATTTCCATCTTATTTAAAATTATTTTTATTTTTATTTTATATAAAGAAATACATAAAAAAGTTGCATGTTAGACTATATATTAATAAAAATTAAAAATATAAATAATATGTATATATATATAACATACCTGCAATTGATAGCACAAAATAATATTTGTAATATCTAGATATTATATTATTAAATATATAATTTAAAATTAATAATATACTATAAAATTATTTAAGTTGTATATATTACAAACAAATACATTAAAACAAGTGGTTATTATTATATTTTATAAGACTGTTTGCTCTTCCATGAGTAGGGTTCAATTCTCATGTTGTGTTTTTTTTAATTTCTTTTTAAAAGTGATAAAAAAAAATTGTGGTTGAACCGGTTTAACCCACCGGTTCATTAAAATTGATCGATTCACTCTAATTTGAAACGAGTCAAATGCATAACCAATCTAATTTAAGGCTTGGACCGACTAGTCCAAGCCGATTTTTAAAACTGTGCTATTCAATAAGCAACTTCGCCAACACTTTTTCAAGGATTTGTACGGATTAATGAAACTCAAAGTAAGCTTACGAGATCTTAATGCTAACAAATTCTAGTTTAAGGAGTTACTTCCAAGAATACACGATCTCCCTCATTAACCTCAAACTCTTTTTTCTTTTTATCATAATAGCTCTTTTGTCTTCTACGGACAATCCCTCATCCTCTCTTGGATTAGCTTAACTTTTTCAATTGTTCGTTGGACTACTTTATGTCCCAAGACAAGGTTGCCTCCAGGCTCTAACTAATACAAGGTAACCTACACCCTTTCCCATACCAAGCTTCACAAGATTTCATTCCACTACTTGAATGATAGCTATTATTGTAGGTAAACTCTATTAAAAGTAAGAAGCTAACTTGACTACCCTGATGTCCTAAAACACAAGCTCTAAGAAGATCCTCTAAATTGGGTGAATCTCTCAATTTAGTCATCAGTTTAGGGATGACAAGTTGAAATCGGTCTAAGCTTCATTCTTAAAGTCTTATGCAAACTTTTTCAAAATCTAGAGGTGAATCTAATAAGAAACTATGCTAGAAGGGATAACATGAAGTCAAACTATCTTACTAAAATAAAGGTTTGTCAACCTCTCTAAAAATTACATATGGTTAGTTAGAGCATAGAGAACGAGTCCAACCAACTTGTCCACTATCACCCAAACATCTTCTATGTTTTTTGTGATTCTAGGCAACATAACCACAAAGCCTATAGACATGTTACTCGATTTTCTCTCACACAGATTCATCTAGAGGTTGTAACTTTCCTTAAGTGATATACAGCTACAGACATAGTAGTGATTTGTGAGTATGTCAACATGATGCCACGTAATTTTTGTAACATACACATATATAATTAATATTTAAATTTTGTTTTATGAGTTGGGTTAGATTAAATTTTTCGCACTAAAACTCAAAGAAAAACTAGTTTGATTGGATTAGTTATGTTTTACTTAAACACTCTAAAAACTCAAACTAAATTGTTTGGATTGGATTGAGTTAAGTTGGATCCGTGAGTACTCATACTTGTGAACATCCCTAAATGAGAATGTAGTTGGTGAGAGATCGGGAGAAATAAGTTTACTTTTTTATTTTTAGACACAAAATTAAAGGCCCAATTTTCACATTAAAAAACAATTTCACATTAAAAAATTCAAACCAAAATAATTAGGTTAGTTTACGTCGGTTTATGTTCATAGGTTATCCATGAGCTCTGGCATTGCCAAGCGAATCAGATCAATGCCTTTCTGTAGTCCAGTCTCCCAATGAATCCAATCTACAACTTTTAGCAATAGTCAATAACAGAAAGAGTGACCTGAGTGAGCAAGAATTTTGCCTTGCAGACAACAAACTTACCAACGGACAATCAAGCCTCACTGGAAGACCCAATTCTTCCTGCAAAGAAATCTTACATTCGGCCTGTACATTACAAATAATTACCGTAAGACAAGTTCAGCTAAAGAGATACAAAGGAAGGGTAATAAAGGGAAAGTGTAAAGAACCTTCCCAGAAAGGTCATCAGCAGAATAATTGCAAGCAATATGTTTATCACATGAAGGGTCCCATTCAGTGACATCTATTCCATTTGTGATCCCTAGTCAACAATAAAATTATTACAAGTTTGAGCATCAAGGCACATCATTCAGCAAGAATTAACAATACAGTTTCTTGTTTTGAACAAGCGGAAGCATTAGACAGTGTCATGAGAGAAAAAAAAAATAATGACAAAAGAAGCTTATGGGCTTTGTAGTGATTAGGAAAATACAATTTGTTTGCTACTGAATTGGTGAAATGGAATTGGGATGTTATTTTGAAAATAAATTAGAGGGACTTCAAAAAATTTCTATTCAAAATATAAACCAATATCATTACAACAGATTCTATGACAACACAAGTCAAGATTGCCAAACAAATGAGCAAATAAACAACTTTGACGAGTCCAAAGCAGAGTTAGCATTTTCCCCAAATTTATTACTTAATTGACTTGCAAGAAGTTATCTGAACAAATCAGGTTGATGGAAAAGCAAAATGGAGAACGAATTGAACCCTCCTTAACGTTGGCATTTTTGTCCCCGTTGGTAGATAGGCCCCTACCCCTCAGTTTGTCTGTTTTGTGTTAATGATTGGTCACCACTGTCACAGTTGCCCGATGTTTATTTGGAAGAGAGGAAAGAAAACAAGGGAAGATAGAAAATTTATAAAAATTTGTTTCTCGAGTTTCCTTTCCTCTACTCTTTTCTGTCCACTTTTTCTTCAATAAAAAATTAGAATTCTCAAATTTCAAAACTGTTTGTTCTTCTTTATTTCTCTCTCCTTCCAAACAATAAATATGGTGTTATGTTTCAATTATCCTAACACGGTTGACCAAACCATCACATTAACTTCGGTGTTTAGAAACCTAGGTCTGTTAAATTTAGTCGATCTACATGAAAACAACAACATCATTATTGAGCTCAAATGTATAAAATACGATCTGAGACTTTATTGAAGATATGCATTTGCACTTAAGATAAATTATCTGGCCCAAGCTTGGGTTTAACTTGCTTAAAGACATATTGTTGCTTCAGGAGTATAAACCACGTATTGTCAACTAAAAAAAATCAGTCATAAATCTTTCATAGTTTGAGCTTCAACAAGTATGCTATAAGAAAAATATATAATAAAAAAAAATTAAGAACATACCATTGAGAACGCTTTTTCGACTACTTAATAATTCATGTAGACTACATCCACCTTCACTGGTTGTTATCTCCCAGGAATAGCCCTGGAAAAGGAAGGAAGATCTTTATGCATTGCATATCATTACATAGTAAATACAAGATTCTTCTCTTCTACAAAATTGTCAATTTGTTATGATATCATAGTGATGTAAGGTTTTAACTTCTGGGCGAAACAAAAGTTTAAAATGAAAAAGAAAGAATACTGAGCAACAAAAGAAATACCCAATATTGAAGACAATAAAACAGAAGGAAGTAGAATATATAGGATGCAGTATTAGTACCTTGCTTACCGTAACTATCCGGTCAGCAGTAACAATGGCACCTTTTAGAAAGTTGACTGCTTCACCCGTGTCAAGAGCATGCGTCCTTGCCCACGTAGGGAACACCCATCCCATTGCTCCATACTATTCTGAAGGTAGCCCCAAATTACTATATGTAATTGCAGGTTCCACTCCGTAACATATAATTTCATCAGCTTCTATGCTGGTATAAAAAGACTAAACTTAAATATGTGAGCCATACCATGTAAGAATTTATCACAACTACTTCTGTAGGCCATTTATCGTACAGTTTCAGAGTCCTTACGTTACAAACTTCTTAATTAATATCAATATACATTATATTTAGCAAAGCATTACGAACCCCATTTGTAGTCAAAGACAACATTTTCCAAGACTGTCCATTAACACAAATTAGCAACTTTGATATGCATGCACAGCTGCAATCATGTTCAAATCATTCATTTCAATGCGACAAAAACCAACATAATTGTATTCTACATATTAATAAAGTTCAAAAAGAATCACACCAAATGGGATTGTACTTAGTTGTTGGCATAAGCTTCAAGATAAAAGCAATAATTAATAATTTTCAGTTTTTAACAATGTACTTGTACCATGAATTCTAAGTATCTTACTAAAACAGAGGTAAACAGAGGTTTGTCAACCTCTCTAAAAGTTACATAAGGTTAGTTAGAGCACAAAGAACGTATTCAATCAACTTATCCATTATCACCTAAACATCTTCTATGCTTTTTGCGGTTCTAGGTGACATAACCACAAAGCCTATGGATATATTACTTGATTTTCTCTCACACAGATACATTTAGAGGTTGTAACCTTCCTTAACTAATATACATCTAAAGATGTAGTAGTGATTTGTGAATATGTAAACTTGATGTCACGTGTAACTTTTTGTAACATACACAAATATATAATTAATATTTAAAATTTGTTTAATGAATTGGGTTAGATTAAATTTTTCACACTAAAAAACAAAGAACAAATAGTTTGATTGGATTAGTTATGTTTTACTTAAACACTCTAAAAACTCAAACCAAATTGTTTGGATTGAGTTAAGTTGGATCCATGAATACTCATACTTGTAAACTAAATGAGGGTGTAGCTGGTGAGAGATAGAGAGAAATAAGTTTATTTTTTATTTTTAGACACAAAATTAAATGCCGAATTTTCACATTAAAAAATAATTTCACATTAAAAAATTCAAACCAATATAATTAGAATAGTTTACGTCGGTTTATGTTCATAGGTTATCCAGACCTTTGACCTCCGAGCAATAATATATGATACAAACACTTTGCGTACATAAAGAAATATTCTTGTCATGCACTTAAAAATATATTTTTTACATTCGATTTTGCTTTGTCAAATTATATCATTTTTACAATAAACGTAAACAAATACTAGTATCACACTCATTAACATATTATTATCGGTTGACATTTATTGAAAATTATAAAATTTATAAGTTTCATCTTTTATTTAATAAATCTTACTCATAAATCAGTAGAAGAGAAAAGCTGAATAAAAGATACAATGTACAGATTAGATAGATATTAGATGTTAATGTCAAATATAATACGCTATCGATAATGAAAGGGGGCATGTGCACAGACTATTGGAAACGTGAACGAGATATTTGAAATTTTAATCTTTAATATCCCTTAGATCTGAAGGCAGGGTGCCAACTTGCTACAATGATTGCTTAAATTAGTGATTTAATATATTTAGCATACTACATGTCATCCTATCCTACAAACGTGGGACGGTACGCCTGCAACGTGTTCGCTGCCCATGCGCTAGTCACCTGAAACTCAACTCCTTTGTCCCAACGCATAAATCATTGTGCCAACACAAAAATTGTCATTCCCTAGTCCCCATCTCCACCGACCTCAAACACATACCTAAGCTTTCCTCATGCAGGGATCTTACACTTTCAACTTTCAATCTTTATACTAAACCAAATTAAAATATCATCCCTGCTGCATCTCTCAATCTGCTATCAGAGTTACACACCAAAAACCCCAACCTCTCAAACATAACTAAACAAAATTTACTAACAAATGTTCATTAATATATGGCTAAATCAGTTTAAAAAAATCTTTATCATACATAACCTATAACAATAATAACATAACCTCATTAGAAATCACAAAACTCACATTTTGATTAATCACAAGGAAAGATTCTTAATTTTAAGTAACAAAACTCTCCATGTAAACATCAAATTTAACTATTTACTAAAAACTCGAAATCCAAAGTACCGATTAAACAAGAACACACTCATCATGTCAGATAATGAAGTACTATAAACTGCAAAACTTTCTTAGAATATTTAATTCAACATCGTACCTTTCTCTCAGAGCGGAATAACCCTACAGCGTGGATTCATACGGTATGTGGTGATTGAGAGATTCCGAGATGAGTTTCATAGGAATGAGAATGAAAATAGATTGAAGAACACAGGAAGAAAAGCCAAGTTAACATAATAAGGGAGAGAGACAGCATGATAAAACCAAGTGATAGTAGTAATTAAGCATGTTTATGAAGTAGTAATTCTGCACAATTGAAGAAAAGATGTTGAATTCCGATTAAGAAAAGGAAATTTCCAACAGAAATTGGAAGAAAAAAAAAGGAGGAAGGAAATGGAACCTCCCCGATTACATGCATATACATAATATGTATGAAGAAAAAGAAAAATCCCGAGAGAGAGGGACAAAAAAGGGGTGATGGATGGATGGATTCAATAGGTCATGCACTTGAATCCGCTGCAAACCCACAACCAGATGACGAAGAGGACGGTGCAGACGAACAAATCGAGGAGGAGGAGGACCCAGACGTGCTTCTTCCAGACGTGTTTGGGCTTGTGGTGGTGGTGGAGGGGCTTGAGGGAAACGACGTCGTCGGCGAGGACGTCAAGCGTGGAGGTCTTCTTCTTCTTGAGGAAATGGGGCTGGGGCTGGGGCTGGGGTTGAGGGGGAGAGGGGAGGGGGGGCGGCGGCGCGTGGGGGTCGAAGCGGAGGGCGTGGGTGAAGATGGAGTGGAAGTGGGGCTGGAAGGAGAGGGGGGCGAAGTGGTGGTTGGAGGGGAGGGTTTGGCGGAAGGAGGAGCGGAGGCGGTGGAGGAAGGGGAGGGTTTGGGACTTGAGGAGGGTGTGGTGGGAGATTGTGAAGAAGACGAAGGGAGGGTCTATGAGGAAGGTGAAGCTGCGGTTGTCCACCGTGTGGGAGAACATGGAGTGGTTGGGCGGGGCTTGGGCCACGCATTGGGCCGCCAGAGACTCCATGCTCGCCTCCTTCTCGCTCTGGTGCTGGGCCAGGATCGTCGTTGATCGGGCAATGCACGCGTACTGGATCAGCTCTGGATTCGGAATCATTGCAATTCGATCGGAAATAATAATAGTAATAGATGGATCTTCACATTGGGATTGATTGATTAGGGTTTTGGAATTCTCGCATGAGATTACCAAAAATGATGGCTGGGTGGCGACGAGATGGGATGGGATTGCCTGCGCACCGCGCCCAACTCAACTCTCCCTAATTACCAACTTCTCCTCCCACCTCTTTCTTTCTTCTACTATTCCCAATCTTCTCTCTCTATTTTCACATCTCCTTTCTTCCCTTCACTCCACATATATCTTTTATCAATCATCCCTCTTTTTCTAAAATTAAAGAACCAAATAATATCTGTATACTAAATTCTACTATAATTTTTTTTTTTATTTTTCTCTATGTTTATTTCCTTTTTTTATCTTATTATTTATTTTATTTAATGATGAAAAAGGCAATATGACAGTCTAACCTCGTCAGTTAAACCAAATATAAAAGATACACTAACTCAATTTAATCCAATTTTTATACGAGTTTTTTAATCAATTCTTTTTTTAATTAGGCTTGGTAGGCCATTTTAACAACTATATTCTTATTCATGTATTATTACCGGTAAAAAAAATCAATAAAATTTAAATATGATACATATGATCTGATAGTGTGTTGTTTTGTTTTTTTTTAATTAGCATTAGAATTTTATCTCATTAATACATGTTAACATTTAGGAAACGAATGGTACATAACAATTTTTTTATGTTTGGAATTACAATTAATGAGAATCTTATTAATAAAAATGATGAAAACTTAAATTTGATAGACATAAATGTTTCTAAGAATGTTTACGTGTTATTTAGGAATATTAATTTTTCACCTCTCTATGAAAACAATTTCATGAAAAATCTATGTAAAAAGCATTTTTTAAAAATATTATTTAAACTTTTCACATATCAAAAGTCCACTTAATAAATTTTTTTATTACTCATATTATCCCGATGAAATTCTAAAAACATCAATTTAATATATAAGAATTAATAGAGTTTAAATTCTACTAAAGAAAAACTTTTTTATGTAAGATTCTTAATTTTTTATTACTTTTATTAATTTTAAAAGACATCATCTTAAATAAGCTGGAGCCTATTTTATTTAACAAAATACACACCTAATTTATTCCCTATCATAAACTAGGGCTTACTTGACCTTTCTTAATAATGTAAAATGCTAAGTTGATCTTAAAGTTAATTAAATTTACATATTATGAAAAGTTTTAAATAAAAAAAAAAACTTGAATTATATATTTTTAGTACGATGTAACATGCAATAAAAATTAAACATATTATACATTAAAAAAAAAACGCATATCTTATGCCACGTAAATTATTCTTAAAATAGTTCACATAACTTATTTGCCAAGACTTAAACAAGATGTAAGCCAAACATGTAGGTTGCAGGCCAGCATCGAGTTACCTTTGCCTAACCAACTCTCTCACGCAAGTGGGTCAGCTTCCGGACATCAAAGAGATGCATGCACAAGACAAAGATTGACGCATCTTGCAATTTGTGTCGGTAACCCGCGATAACACAATTCGCATCATTTTTCATACTTTTAACCAATGATCTAATAAAGGCACAGTTCTCAGATGGTGTAAACTCAGCATGGCACATGACCTGTTCTATAATCCTACCCAATACAAAAGCAATAACTATGCATCAAAATTGATTATTATACTTTCTCCCTTGTACGGTAAAAAACTTCTAACTGCATTAAATATTAGGATAGTTACAAAGTGGAATTTCAATTGGTATAAAAGATTCTACGAGGACTGCCTAGCTGAGTTTATTTACCCTATCATATAATGAAAAGAGTACAGCTCAAGATGGGTGAGATATGTGCATCCCTAAAAAGAATTTGTGCGTTTGATAATAAAATTACACCAAAGTGGTGGACTTAAACGAGCAAAGAAAAAATGGCCTACTTCTTGTTATCACTAAGCCATAATTATGAACACGAAAATCCTCTTAAGCAGCCTGCGTGTTCAAAGAATATATTGCGTAAATCTTTTATGAAAACTTTGTTTCAGCTTTCAGCAATAAGGAGGGTCAGTGAATGCCCAGTTAATGACTTCCTCGTATTGAGTGGCAGCATTTACCCATGTGTAATCTTTTGTCATACCTCTTTTCATCAATCCCTCCCAAGAACCCTTGTGTTCATTATATGTTTGAATGGCATATCTTAGAGCCTGTCAAAATTAATAAAAGTTAAGATCATAATGACAACAATAGCCAAAAAAATAAGGAGTGTAGTCAGAACATTACAAAAATGAGAAAAGTTTGTCAGTCCCTCCGTAGACTTTTTTAATGAAATGAGATTGGTACAGATTCCTCAATGTTTTGGTAACTTGATATGGCTATTTTTATAATCTAATGGCTAACTCAGGATTCAAGAAGCCAAACCAATGATAGCAATTAGAGATAAATGATCCCCTACCAAGAACCATTTCATTAACCATCTAGACCAAGCATACACGATTGTCATTAGACCAAGGGTCTCACCCCCAATGAGCTCAGGCAAGAATTATTGGTTGAGTTTTGACGAAAATTATGCAGTCATATTAGACTATATTGTTAGAGAAATCAACTAGTAATATGATAAAAATAATATAAGTGAGAAACAATTCTTACTTTGTTACCCAATTTTATAGAGTTGAGTCATGTCAAGCCTAAATTCTAAGATATACTTTACTTCCTCTATAAAGATGGTGCCCTTCCTCGTACTCAAGAAAAAGGAAGACAATACTAGTTGAAAGCTCAAAGCTTATATGCTAGGAGTTAAAATTGAAAGTGTTTAATAAGATTGACTAATAAATTGGCCGATAAATTTAAATAATATAAAATGACATATTTTAGTTATTTGAGATAAAAATTAATTAATTAATTAATTAATTAAGATAAAAATGAGGGGAAAGGAAAGTAGGAGCTTCATAAGTTATCTGAGGTAGAATATGAAAATAAGCTAAAAACTACTAAAATAAGACTAAACAAACTTATTTTGGCCAAACTAATTTGAATGGTAGTCAAATTAACTTATGCTCCTCTAATACCTACCAAACACACTCAACCTGTTAGAATAGTTAGGTAATTATAGTAATTACATAAATAGGACAGCTTATGTGTTATGCAATTATGTTAATTAGAGTAACAACTTATAAGCTTTACTATATAATTCAAACAGCTGAATTTATGTCACGTTTCTCGTTCCCTCTCTTTCTCATGATGAAAGCACGAACACCTCCCTTGGTCGACATATTGCAATGTCAGACAAGTTTTTGACGTTGACACTCAATAACACATGTCAGACATTTCTAATAAGGTGTCCAGTTAAAAAATTGTTTTTTGTTGGCTTAGACACTTAAGCCAACACCTCTAAACACCTTGAACACTTGAATTGACCTCCATATGAATGAACACACTAATATTATTAAAAGAAATTCTTTTTTTGACTTTTAGACAAGTCATCTTAAAATATAATAGGAAATATAAAAAAGAAAAAAAAATAATGTTTCTCACCTTTTATTTAGGCTTGTTATCATAGAAAAAAAGAAGGTTGGTTTAGAAAGGTGAATATATCATCAGTTTACATATTTTGTTGTTACTCATTTCATTTCATTATGATCTCTCTCTTTGTATGTGTATGTCGCGTTGTCTTATATTTTAAACATTACTCGTGTTAGAATATCGGTGTCCGTGCTAGAATTTGAGCTTCGTAGCATTCTCAACACAACCATTTTGATGATTTTTATTTTTGAAAGTAAACATTTTGATAATTAACAAGGCATAGACTAGAAAATTCCATATCAATTTGCAAAAGACAAATAACAGAATTATCTACACTGAAATATTAAGATGCTGTCAAAGTATGCTAAAAATTAAAACAATGAATCTGTATGGACAGGAAATCAAGCTTACCGCTAACATGCTCTCCTTTGTTAGTGGAGAAAATGTCCACCTGTCAGTGAAGTATAAAATATTGTCAAATAATATATAATGAACATATTCATCTTGTATTAGTGAAATCCTGGGGTTGTAAAGTGACCTTTGACAGTCATATAAAAAAATATAAAGTATAGCAGGAATCCATAGATTTAGAAGGCTAACCGTTAGTCCACATACTTGCAGAAACCTAACTTTTGATAAACGGCCATGTCTTTTTGTCAACTTAGATGTTACCTTTTTCCTATAACTACAACAACTCCAGTTGACAGTTGTAACCACCTAATCTGTTCTTACAATGAATATTTATAATTGGCAAAGTTACATGCCATTCACATTTTATCCAGGCTTGTACAGGCTTACGGGAGTTATCTGATCCATGTAATACTTACAATACTTCTACACATTTAAATTATTCACTATCAGCAATAGGAAATATCTAACTTCCTAGATTCATAGCAATAAATTTAGATAAGAGCCATGATTATGATACAAGTTCCATTATTTTATTATCCTATAACTATGTTAGTTTCATTTGGACCAAAGAGTTGTAAGGTTTATCAAGAAAATATGGAAATTGGATAATTGAAAGATAAAATATTCCAAGCTCATGGATAACATACCCAGTGCTTTCAGCATTGCTATCTTCAGTATATGGATTGAAATTATGAACGGTATCCTGTATGAAGGGAAAAACGTCAAGGCAAAGAAATCATATTGAACTAGTCAATTGCTTATATTTTCTTAACTTACTCTTAGCCCCCCAGTTTCATGAACAACGGGTATCGTTCCATATCTCATTGCATACAACTGATTCAGTCCACAGGGCTCAAATGCAGACGGCATCAACAGTATATCACATCTGAATATACCAGGAAGACACAGTAAGAAGCAAAATTGATGTGGATACAGTAAGGAAATTTTGAATAACCAGCAATTGTCCTATAAAGGATTCATAAATTTTGGATTACCCTGCAGTTATTTTATGAGATATTGGGACATTAAATCCCACCCAACCCCGAAATTTATCTTTATAAGCTGACTCCATTGCTCTCATCCAATCTTCATAAATAGGGTTTCCCGAACCAAGCATTACCTAGAAAAAATAACTAGAGACTGTCAATCATATAGCAGGGTCACAAATATACAGTACATTCCTCTGAACTCAGAAGTTATACTTACATAAATTACTTCTATAAATTAGAATTCAAGGGGCCTCTTACTCTAAATTGAAATTATTCATACAAGTAGGTCACATTTGAGAAATGTTCAATCGTATGGATTCTTTTTATGGCAAGCATCAAGATGTTTAAAATTTTATTTAGCAGGCATTTTTTGCAATGTCTCAAGGTGTATTTTATACCCTACCAGTAAACACAGCCTACATTAGATACCAGTATACCACCACTCCATGGATTGAATTATTTGCCAAGACATGCATTTATAAAAATGAATAATGATATACAAAATCACTTACAAACTGAACATCAGCTTCCATGAGCTCTGGCATTGCCCAGCGAATCAGATCAATGCCTTTCTGGTAGTCCAGTCTCCCAATGAATCCAATCTACAACTTTCAGCAATAGTCAATAACAGAAAGAGTGACCTGAGTGAGCAAGAATTTTTCCTTGCAGATAACAAACTTACCAACGGACAATCAGGCCTCACTGGAAGACCCAATTCTTCCTGCAAAGAAATCTTACATTCGACCTGTACATTACAAATAATTACCATAAGACAAGTTCAGCTAAAGAGATAAAAAGGAAGGGTGATAAAGGGAAAGTGTAAAGAACCTTCCCAGAAAGGTCATCAGCAGAATAATTGCAAGCAATATGTTTATCACATGAAGGGTCCCATTCAGTGACATCTATTCCATTTGTGATCCCTAGTCAACAATAAAATTATTACAAGTTTGAGCATCAAGGCACATCATTCAGCAAGAATTAACAGTACAGTTTCTTGTTTGTACAAGTGGACGTGTTAGGCAGTGTCATGAGAGAAAAAAAATGACAAAAGAAGCTTATGGGCTTTGTAGTGATTAGGAAAATACAATATGTTTGCTACTGAATTGGTGAAATGGAATTGGGATGTTATTTTGAAAATAAATTAGAGGGACTTCAAAAAATTTATATTCAAAATACAAACCCTTATCATTACAACAGATTCTATGGCACAAGTTAAGATTGCCAAACCAAACAAATGAACAAATAAACAACTTTGACGAGTCCAAAGCAGTTACCATTTTCTTCAAATGTATTACTTAATTGACTTGCAAGAAGTTATCTGAACAATACAGGTTGATGGAAAAGCAAAATGGAGAAAGAATTGAACCCTCCTTAAATGTGGTATTTTTGTCCCCTTGGTAGATAGGCCCCTGCCACTCAGTTTGTCTGTTTTATGTTAATGATTGGTCACCACTGTCACACTAGCCTGATTTTATTTGGAAGAGAGGAAAGAAAATAGGGGAAGATAGAAAATTTATAAAAATTTGTTTCTCAAGTTTCCTTTCCTCTACTCTTTTCTGTCCACTTTTTCTTCAATAAAAAATTAGAATTCTCAAATTTCAAAACTGTTTGTTCTTATTTATTTTCTCTCTCCTTCCAAAAATAAATATGGTGTTATGCTTCAATTATCCTAACATGGTTGACCAAACCATCACATTAACTTCGGTGTTCAGAAACCAAGGTCTGTTAAATTTAGTTGCTCTACATGAAAACAACATCATCATCATTGAGCTTAAATGTATAAAATACGATCTGAAACTTTATTGAAGATATGCATTTGCACTTTAGATAATTATCTGGCCCATGCTTGGGTTTAACTTGCTCGAAGACATACAATTGCTTCAGGACTATAAACCACGTATTGTCAACTAAAAAAAATCAGTCATAAATCTTCCATAGTACAAGCTTCAAAATGTATGCTATAAGAAAAATATATATTAAAAAAAAAATAAGAACATACCATTGAGAATACTTTTTCGACTACTTAATAACTCATGTAGACCACATCCACCTTCACTAGTTGTTATCTCCCAGGAATAGCCCTGGAAAAGGAAGGCAGATCTTTATGCATTACATAGTAAATACAAGATTCTTATCTTCTACAAAATTGTCAATTTGTTATGATATCATAGTGATGTAAGGTTTTAACTTCTGGGCGAAACAAAAGTTTAAAATGAAAAAGAAAGAATACTGAGCAACAAAAGAAATACCCAATATTGAAGACAATAAAACAGAAGGAAGCAGAATATATAGGATGCAGCATTAGTACCTTGCTTACTGTAACTATCCGGTCAGCAGTAACAATGGCACCTTTTAGAAAGTTGACTGCTTCACCCGTGTCAAGAGCATGCGTCCTTGCCCACGTAGGGAACACCCATCCCATTGCTCCATACCATTCTGAAGGTAGCCCCAAATTACTATATGTAATTGCAGGTTCCACTCCCTAACATATAATTTCATCAGCTTCTATGCTGGTATAAAAAGACTAAACTTAAATATGTGAGCCACACCATGTAAGAATTTACCACAACTAATTCTGTAGGTCATTTATCGTACAGTTTCAGAGTCCTTACGTTACAAACTTCTTTAATTAATTTCAATATACATTATATTTAGCAAAGCATTACGGACCCCATTTGTAGTCAAAGACAATATCATTTTCCAAGACTGTTCATTAACACAAATTAGCAACTTTGAAATGCATGCACAGCTACAATCATGTTCAGATCATTCATTTCAATGTGATAAAGACCAACAAAATTGTATTCTACATATTAATAAAGTTCAAAATAAATCACACCAAATGGGATTGTACTTAGTAGTTGGTATAAGCTTCAAGATTAAAGCAATAATTAATAATTTTCAGTTTTTAACAATGTACTTGTTATAAAGGTATTTCAGGATCTACCAGTCTAATTTGTCGAATGTGACTTAATAACCATGGATAACATGCAGCCAAGCTGAAGGCGTATGGATGGAAAGTATATAATAGAACTCGTAGAGACCCTTATTTTGTTGTTGATGCTTGAAAGCTCACTTTAAGAAACACAGATTAAAACATGATGTCATTGCCACTGCTCTTACCTGATGTGCTATATTATGTATCACTAATATACTACGTGCATCCTTATATACCCCATGTGGACGATACTTCGCTGCCAAAAGTCTGCACCACAATCAAAGTACTACTACTCATCCTCAGTAAGAAAATAATATCAAATCAGACAAATCACAAAAAGCTTCAAATAAAACTTAAAAATGTGAAAATCCACATGCTATAAGGAAGCCTAATAACAATTAAATGGGTAAATTGCACTCACCTTCTTAGAGAGATGCTTAAATTACATTGCTCACTCTCACTCCCCTAATTTTAAAAAATATTCTCTTTTCCCCGAGAGACAAAATAAGCTACACTTTTACTCATTTTAATGTAAACAAACCTCTTGGTTACGGTGAGCAATTATGAACAAGCCTTCTAGGGACATTTTTCTTCTCTGTGCAACTTTCAGTGCCATAGACAGCTAATTATGAACACTAATATTATTTTAGGGTTTTATAAGATGGAATGAAATTTTAAACATTTCTAGCATTGTTTTTGATGATATTGAGATTCACAAAGAGGGGAAATTTGTACCCTAAGAAGCCTGTTTACATTACAATGGATTAAAGCATGACACATCTTAATCTCTAAGGGGAAGCTAGTGTAACTTCAACATCTATAATGAGAGGAGAGGATAATTTACTCTAATAATAAAAACAGAAAAGTGAAGTTTCCAAAAATATAATAACCAATTGCAGGACTTTAGGGGAACCATTAGAAGAAAGATAGCCTTTACCAAAGCAAAGGTATTCGCTCCTTTATTTAAATAAAGAAAATCTGACAGAAACAATATGCTTGGAGGAAAAGCTTATTATGTTGCAGCTCTTCATTGCAAAAGAAAAGGGAGGGGGAGAGAGAGAGATTGGTAAAAGGGTGGATAAAGGTAGGAATGCGTACACTGGAACTAGGCTGGCATGCCAATCATTAACAAGGAATAAACAATTTTCTCCATAAGTGAACCCTCCCAATGGAAGCACCAATGGGGCTTCACACGCTGCATGGCAGAGTAAAGTGAACCGAAACTGTAAAACCAAATGAGAAGGAAATTTATCATTATTAGTGAATGTATAATACTAACATCAAAAGGCTATAATCAAGAATATACCTGATTATCCCCAAAAGTCCCAAACTTGTCTCCATATGGATTCCCTGGTCTGTGGAATGAGGGGTGATCCACAAACACCTAAAACAAGAAGGAAGCAACACCGACCATCATCCGCAAAGAATCAAAGTAGATCCTATGATGTAAGAAGTAAAGTGGTTCTGAACAAGCCAAAATTAAAAACTTCATACATACCCAATCAACCCCTTCCCTGAACTCATGGTAAAAGCCAACTTCTTGGACACCTTCAAAGCAAAACAATTTGGTGGGCCGATCCAAATCAACAGCAGCAGCAAACTTATCATCCTCAGAAGTACCATGAATGTATCTTGGCGTGACAACCATGACGCGGTGGCCGCGAGCAGCGAGCGCTTTCGGCAAAGAGCCGCAAACATCAGCAAGGCCACCAGTCTTGGAATACGGCGCAGCTTCAGCAGTCACAAAAACAATGTTCTGTAACACTCTAGTCTCAGCTCCCTCTCCATCTATACCTTCAATCTCAAGTTTCATAACCTCATCGCCACTAGAAATAGAATCTACCTTAGCTGTATCCCCCGCTTGCGACACTCTCATCAACTCTTCAAGACCTGTGACAGTTTCATCAACTCATCAAGACCAAAACATAACCTCAACCTAAGCTTTAATTCTTTAATCGTCATCATCACATAACATAAGAACAATTTTTTTTATTAATAAATAACGTTCACACAATATTTCAAAACTAACAAACAACAACTAAAAACTAATTTGCACTTTTAGTTAGCTAAGTGTTATTTTAACACGATCAGAATCCATTTCGACCTCTCGTGTACCAGATACACGCATACTACTCATTAAAAAAAAAAAAAAAAAAAAAAGGAATTTAA